TTAGCAATTTACTCACTTATATATATATATATATATATATATATATATATATATATATATATATATATATATATATAACAATTATTGATACGTTGATGACTGATTTAGTTATTGAGAGAAATTTTAAGGAGAAATAATGTGTCTTGGTGACTATTTAGTGTATGCTTGACATATGAGAGTTCAAAAGAAGGTATCCAACTATACTATCAGTCATTCAACTTAGAGATGAATGGGGTGGATAAGAGAATGACAAGAGGTATTTACTCTAGACTTTTGGTTTTAGATGTAAAAAATTAACTCCATGAGTAGTATGGTATAATTCATGTGTTTATGATTAATTATGTAAAACATAAATACTACTACGAGTGCATATCTACATTGAAACCCCCTGTCAAAACATGTATTTGAATAATGGAGTCTAGATTTATCTGTATGAGTTATGATATTTATAACTATTGATATAATGTTATATGTTTTAAATTGTTTATGAAGTTTCCTTTTAAACATTATACTTCTTTTTTTTTTTTGTAATGTTTCTATTTTACAATGATCACCCTATTTAGTATGAAAATGAGTCACGAGTAACATATTTTTAGTGAAAGTCAAGGATACTGTGAGTGATATTTTTGTTTTTAAATAGTTTTGTATAACGATTTCTTACTTTTTTGAAAAACTTATTTAGTTTTTTTTTACTTTATATATATATATATATATTATATTATGTTAGCATAATTATTATTTTGGATACTTTATTAATATTCTATATAATTTCTATCTATATGTTATGTATTAACAAAATTTATAATGTTTTGTTTAATGTTTTATACCAATGAGATATTTCAAACATGATCCAAAAATACAATTTTTGATACGAAAAGTGTTTCAAATTATATAAGGCAAAATGTATTTTCAGATTATATAATTTAGAAATGTGTTATACAATATATATATATATATATATATATATATATATATATATTTCTTTATCAAATTACACAATTTGAAATACATTTCCAAAATTATAGAATACACTATTTAAAATATATTTCTAAATTATCTAATTTAAAATATGTTTTCCAAAATTTAAAATTTGAAAATATGATTCATAAATAATTTAAAAAAAAAAATTCCAGTGAAGTATACCAAAAAAGATTGGGCTGAAAGGAAGAAAAACTCTTAGAATCTAGATATCACTATTTTATGAGAAATCCGATTCCATAACTAGTTTGATTTTCATTATTTGGGATAAACAACGTGCTAGCTGCTTGCGATGTCAGCATGGCAGATCAGGCCACCTGTCATTTAATTGCATTCGTGAAGAGCAAGCGTGTCCACCACCGAAGGACAACCGCATTGTAAAACGTATTTTTGGTAAAGCAAAAAATGCTAAATAATATTTTTTTAATAATATGTTTTTAACTATATGTGCTGTATAATTAGTTAAAGTTGCTCTGATGAAGGGAACATTAATTAACAATAAATATAATGATAATTTTAATAACGTTCACTATTATAGTTTTTCACGAATCCGTTGCTGTTTGTCTACAATCCTACACTCTTACGAAACAGCCACGTTGTTGCACACGTGACCTCACGTGAGGAATTTTGTACGTGGTCAACTCTTACGGTTGAAAAATCGTGTATTGTAACTTTTGTTTTACACGCTCATCTTAATTTTATGCCATAGCGATCGACTTTTCTGGGAGTACCTTTCAGAGCAAGATAGTAGTAATAGTAGCATTTTCATTTCATTTTATATTTATATTTATTTTTGGGGCCAAAGCGACAACAACGTGACCTTCAAGTTCCGAATCACTCGTTCCGATATCCGTTTTTCCATCCTCTTTTCCTTCTCATCGCCATCGTCATTCGTCGTGTTTTCGTCTCTGTAACCGCCGCGATCGACTTCGTCGTGCGGTGTATATGATCACTCCGCCAAGAGATGCTAGAGGATCAGGTGGCGTACCTCTTACAGAGGTACCTTGGCAATTATGTGAGAGGTCTCAACAAAGAAGCTCTCAAGATCAGTGTCTGGAAAGGTTCTCAAAATCTTGACTAACTACTCTTTTTTATTTATTCATTTAATTTTCTTAGTCACTTTCTTTACCTTATAAAAGATTTTGCTATTTCTTGTTTACACTTGATTGCTAGTTGAGATTAGAGTGAGGCTACGAGTTTGTGTCTGAATTAAATTTGTCGAATTGAAATTCAAGTGTTCAATCTGCTGGCAGCGCTAGAGCTACCGTAGCGAGTGTGCGTGTGTCGTTAGAGTAGCTAATTTTGTTTGAACTTATTGTTTTCGGTGGTTGTGAAATTTCTGCATTGAATTAATCAACGTAGTTATTTGGGCGTTAATATTTGTCGAATTGGATATACTAAGTGTTTAATCAGTTCGTCCTGCCAAGGCTACCGTATCGATTTTTCGCGAGTGACTTGACTAGCAAATTGTCTTTGGAACTGTTGTTTTTGGTGATTGTGAAACTTCTGCACTGTTCCGATCAATGTGGATACTAATTTCGGCGTTTATATTTGACGAATTGAATTTCAAGTGTTTAATCTGTTGATAGTGTCAGAAGAACTTAGCGAGTATGAGCTAGTGGTTCGAGTTGCAAATTGTGCCTGCAACTGTTGTTTTTAATCAATGTGGATTTTCTGCCTAGTTCTCCAATCATTGTAGTTTTGAATGAGAGTGGGAAAAGGTACGGGTAAAATGATTCTACTATCAACAATTGGCATTTGGCTATATTGGTTTTTTATGTTTATTTCCTCTTTCTCAAAATGTGTTGGAGAATCAAATGCGTAATTTGTTCTAGCTATCCTGATTTAGCGGTATTCTATTTCGTGGTCAATTTTGTTCGTGAGGTCCATCTGTGCAAACAGATACGCATCTTAGTTATTAATAATCATTATTGGAAGACTGTGGGTACGTTTGAGAGCATGGTTTTGGAGGGGAAGGAAAACGAGGACAATTTTCTTATTTTTAAACTAAGAGAATTATATCATATTTACACAAATAAACTAAATATTAGGACATCCAACCTAATCTATAATTTTATTTCTTCATAAATAAAATCAAATTAGAGGATATTTATTTGAAATGAAAAATTTATTCTTTCTTCCTTTTTCCCTCCAGAATTCAACTTCCAAACATATCCTTACTGAGTTTATGGATGTAGAGTTGCTCGCTTTTACTTTTTATCTTCCTCATTAATTTTTCTGAAATATCTTTACCTACATATGAAACAGGCGATGTAGAGCTGAAGAATATGCAGCTGAAGCCTGAGGCTCTGAATGCTTTAAAACTTCCAGTGAAGGTTAAGGCAGGTTTTCTAGGATCAGTGAAACTTCAGGTTGGTGGGGGATCAACTGCTTACTCAGAATTTAGAAATATAATATGTTGAATATGGTTAGAATTTAGAAATATAATATGTTGAATATGGTTATATATATATATATATATATATATATTTTTCATACTGCTTCCTGTAAGTAAAGTATGTATGCATCCATTGAGTCGGAGGATACTATCTTTATTATTCAATCTTTGCATAGATAGCCAAGATTGATTTTACTTTAATTTTATTTTTGTTCTTGACCATTTTTGTAAAATTGAATGGCCATTATTGACTCTCTTTCCTTCTACTGCAAACCTCTTTGGTCAAGGATGGACATAAAGGAAAACAAGACTGAGTTAGAAAGAAATAACAAGAGCTTAGATGAACAAATGGGAACTTTGAGCCTTGATCGTGTTTAACGAAGAAATGATAGCTTTAATTTACACAACAGTANAATATTAGGACATCCAACCTAATCTATAATTTTATTTCTTCATAAATAAAATCAAATTAGAGGATATTTATTTGAAATGAAAAATTTATTCTTTCTTCCTTTTTCCCTCCAGAATTCAACTTCCAAACATATCCTTACTGAGTTTATGGATGTAGAGTTGCTCGCTTTTACTTTTTATCTTCCTCATTAATTTTTCTGAAATATCTTTACCTACATATGAAACAGGCGATGTAGAGCTGAAGAATATGCAGCTGAAGCCTGAGGCTCTGAATGCTTTAAAACTTCCAGTGAAGGTTAAGGCAGGTTTTCTAGGATCAGTGAAACTTCAGGTTGGTGGGGGATCAACTGCTTACTCAGAATTTAGAAATATAATATGTTGAATATGGTTAGAATTTAGAAATATAATATGTTGAATATGGTTATATATATATATATATATATATATATTTTTCATACTGCTTCCTGTAAGTAAAGTATGTATGCATCCATTGAGTCGGAGGATACTATCTTTATTATTCAATCTTTGCATAGATAGCCAAGATTGATTTTACTTTAATTTAATTTTTGTTCTTGACCATTTTTGTAAAATTGAATGGCCATTATTGACTCTCTTTCCTTCTACTGCAAACCTCTTTGGTCAAGGATGGACATAAAGGAAAACAAGACTGAGTTAGAAAGAAATAACAAGAGCTTAGATGAACAAATGGGAACTTTGAGCCTTGATCGTGTTTAACGAAGAAATGATAGCTTTAATTTACACAACAGTAGCTCATCAAAAGTACTATATTTGAATTATTTTTTCTGTATAATTTTTCATTTGCCAGCTTTGTTCTCCTATTTGTGTGATTAATTTGTGGTGTAACCAACTGTTTTATTTCTCATTTTTCTAATTTATATTATCTTATATTTGTTTAGCAATGCAATAGGTGATTCAATAGCATTCTTTCCTTTTGATTAACTAAAATTATCTTATACTTTATGGTTTCTGCTTTTCACAGTTGATAAAAAAGAGAGGGACTTTGGGGTTATTTCAGCAGCATGACAATTGTATAAATGGAATGATTTTTCCTATTTATCTTCTTTATTTTATAATTTCATGGGCATATTGTAATTGCCAAAGCTGTAAGAGCTTGTTTCTTTTCTATATATGTATTGGTAGGGGACAAACAGAGATGCGGGCCTCTTGGTTTGTTGTGGATTGTGGTAAAAGTTCATTATTGAAATAGTTTCTCATTCATCATGCACCCATTTAGCAGAAGTCAAATATTTCTTTCTGCTTGACTGATGGTCACATTTGATGATTGTGTTTATTTTAAGGTTCCATGGAGTAGGCTTGGTCAAGATCCAGTCCTAGTATATTTGGATCGCATTTTCTTACTAGCTGAACCTGCTACTCAAGTTGAGGGATGTAGTGAGGATGCTGTCCAAGAAGCTAAGAAGAGCCGAATACAGGTAAGAATTCAGAAGTAAGAGTTAGATAAAGTGTACTCACTTTTGGTTGAAGATGATTTATTTGAGGAAGCTCACTTTTCTTCCATTTGGCAACAGGAGATGGAACTGAAACTTTGGGAGAAATCACAACAGTTAAAATCAGAAATGGTACGAATTTCACTTTTATAAATGTTTTTTTAAACAAATAGTAGATTTTCACTTTGGATTTTGTCCTGCACGATATATCCACCCAACTTTATGTTCATCTGCTCATTTTTTGGACATGATTAAAATGGTAGATCGCTGGATAAATACACAGAAATTTTCTCCCTCCAGGTTTTCTTAGAATTTGGGTTTTAGAGCTACTCAGCCCTATAAGCATCTTGTAAGCTAAGGACTGTGCATGTTTTTATTTTAGTGACACATTTAGTTAATGTAGGGCTAAACAGCATCCTTGAGGCTACAAATTAAGACAATTTTGAAAGAGGCTGCAACTAAAACGTTGAAGAGAGAGTGGGAAAGAAATTTCAGAAAACATGAATGCTATTATGAAAGTGTGAAAATTTTATGCTGTGCATTTGATCGTTATATTATTCTCAATAGTCAATTTGATAACTTTCTAGCTCTAGTCCCCTAATAGAGGCTGCATCTGTCCTAATTCCTAGCTAACTCAACTTAATTGTCACAATGGCTGGTCAGCGGCTGATTAGGCCGCAGCTGAGTTCAAACATCACAAACACACTTAATACTTTCACAGTCCATGTACACTCATGAAATAAAATACATATACCTATAAGTTTCACCAGAGGACTGCCAAAACTGCACCACTGTCACAAAACTTTTGCTTGTTTCTTGTCAAAATCTGTATATGTTAACAATCAAAACTGTCCCAGAGTTGAAGGACAAATTCCAGCCTCACCCAACCCCAAACAAAATATTTCGCATGAAAGTTGGTAACAAATTTGCCTTATATTAAGAATACCTTATATTAACTCATGTCTCTCTGTGTAAACCTATGCCTACAAGTTTCTGTATTATTAAGAATACTTTATATTAACTCATGTCTCTTGTTCTTTAATCTTAAGAATCAATCATGGTTGGGATCCCTCATTGGCACCATCATTGGAAACTTGAAGCTTTCAATTTCTAATATTCACATCAGATATGAGGATAGTGAGAGGTAATAGAAAATTTTGGAATGTTTTGTGAATGGAAATTAGATCTCTCATGTTATACCCTTTTATAGCCTCATATTTTGCTTTAGCAATCCAGGACAACCATTTGCAGCTGGAGTTATGCTGGATAAACTCTCTGCTGTGACAGTTGATGATACCGGGAAAGAGACTTTTATTACTGGAGGTGCACTAGATCGCATTCAAAAGGTTCTAATGTGACTTATATTGGCTGTAATGATGAAATCCTTTTGTACGATTAAGATGCTTATCCATTTGATAAAGTTTTAAAGTATATCTTGCTTTGGAACAAAGAAAGGTTATCTAAATTTTCATTTTCTTTCAATGAATTTTTTTCCTTGCCTGTGAAACATAAATTCTGAATGGAAGTAATGGTTTTGTGTATGTAATGATCAATACATCTGGTACTTGCTAGTGTTTTTTTTCTTTTTGTTAATTTCTTCTTTCTACATTGCTTTGCAGTCTGTTGAACTTGATCGACTTGCAGTTTATCTAGATTCAAATATTATACCATGGCATGTTAACAAAACATGGGAAGATTTGCTCCCTTCAGAGTGGTTTCAGGTATGTATGCTGGAGGGGATAGGGAAGGACAGTTATGGATTTACATAGAATTGTTACTTTTTTTTTACTTCTTTAAAGTCCTTTTCTTTTTCAATATTTATCACGTATTTAAAGAATAATTTATTTGGGTATAGTAGGTAGTTTGGTTATCATGATGTTGCTATTTTCTTTATTTATAATAAAGAAAATATTGACTAAGCCGAAAATACAATAGTCAAATAAGAGTTGAACAAATAGAAGCCATATTGGGTACAACAAGTGAACCCAAAAGCTCATCACAGACATGGGAATATATATCAGCAAGTCCGTGTAATGCCAATATCATGAAGAACTTTGACTATTGCTCTATTTCTTGGACAATAGTAGAGGCAAGAGGCAATAATTCATTAAATTCATGAAGAGCATGAATTTTACCCATATAATTAGTCATAGAGTCCGGATGCTGAGAAACAACAACATTGAATAAATCATGACAAACACCATAAAAATGTAAATATTATTGGTGTATAATAA